AGAAGAAGAAGAAGAAGAAGAAGAAGAAGAAGAAGTAAAAAAAGTGTTATTATTGAGAGAAGAAGAAGAAGAAGAAGAAGAAGAAGAAGAAACACTTCACATTGGTATTACCATCCTGGGTGCATATCAGTTTTTCAAACAAAGTTCAACAAAATGTCAACAAATCTGAAGACACAGTTTTAGAAAATACTGTGATATTTTATTAAAAATGCGGCAGAAAATTTTTATACATGTGTCCAGCCAGAAATATCATCTATCACTTAAGGCAAAAACTGCAAACAATATAAGACAAACTATTATTTAGAACCCTACATTGGACCCTTGTTGTACTGACAGGTAACAAACCAAGGGCTAACATGAATCATGAACTGATTTAGTATACAAACGTAACTTTTATAAACTCATTTATTAATTTATTTTTTTTAATTCTTTCTTGCGCTTTCAACATCTTTGCTATAGGATGCAGAACTGAAAAATATCAGGGTTATTTTTTTCTTTGTTTGTATTTATTTATAGTAATCAAAATTATTTGTATTTACACTCATTCACTTATGTTTTAACCCAAAATATCACAAGCCTGGCACAATACTTTACATATTGCTAGCATGTTACGAATAGAAATATCTAACATATACTTCTTTACAAACATATCCAACTAGTAAAACTGGATGTGGGTAGAAGTTGCCCTGATTTACATCCAGCTTGAATGGGCAACTTCACCCAGCACTGTAATGTAATTAGAAGCAATATTTCATTTTTAACATCTGTATGGGGTCACGGTATTGGGTCATCAAATGAAAAGCAGCAATCAAACATGCAATATTCGTCAAACATTAGGACAAAATAACACTCAGATGACTGAGATGGATATTGAGAGGCTTTGGAATAAGAATGCTGTCTTCTCTTTGATTTATTTTTCAGGTGTAAAGGCTGTTTAGCACAGATATGATTTAAGAAAAAAAAAAGAGAAAAGATAATGATTGATATATTTACACACACCGTAACAAAAACGTAAGCTCATAATAGTCATATTTTGAACTAAACAACAATAAAAGCTTTTGTAATTATTTTAATATTTGTATTTGACTCACAAGTATTTACATTTTGTCACCTTTACAAATTTTGTTATAATTACATTTCAGGCTGGGATTTTTGAGTTCAATCCACAGGTTGGGTATGTGAAAACACTCTCAGAAAATAATATTAATGTGTTCGTCTGAAATATAGTTCTCGTATAATAACATTGCTCTCATTGTTGCTCTTGGTATATGACATATGTTATGACACATACAAAGCTTCGTCAGATCCTTTAACCTCTCTTTTGTTGGTGTATATGTTGTCTATACAAGCAAAATAGTCCTTTGGAGAGAGTTCTTGTCTTTTGGTGTAAAGTCCCCTGCCCTTACCAAGCCAAATAAAGTCTCCAAATAAAGTATTACTTTAGTAACATTCATTTTTTTTCGCAAGTAGGTCATATTTGACTTTGATATATTCTGCAAGAAGGCTTCATAGGAAAATAACATCTCATCCACCAAGATAAGTCTCAGAGTGGAACAAAGTCAGCACAGTTTGCCATGACAAACAAAGGACCTTAACGCCCAATGCCTTAGCAGACCATGTCCTAGAGTTCTGAAAAGGATCTTTTAGTGCACAGCACAAAGCTATACCCTGGTGGTGGAGTGCCCATGGGGCAGGTTGGTACTGTTCTGACTACCTCCAAACGTGTTGAAATTGTGCAGGGGCTGCATTCCGGCCAGAGAGTGAGGAATCATTGTTATGGTACTTGGCGTCATGAGCGGGATGTCGTCAGGCGAACGTCGTAGAGTAAGTGTGTAATCGGCTGGGCAGGTAAGACGAAGCGTATCATGACCTGGCAGAGCATCGCACTCATGATGGTGCTCGTGTTCCATCTGCTGCTGTTTCATCTGGAGCGACATCACCTCCTCGCTCTGCAAATGTGCAATGTCATTGGCGTTAGCCACTGCATTAGCTGGTGCAGAGTTCCGCTGTGGGCTGGGCCCACGTCGGTTGGATTCGTGACGGCGCTTATCCTTCTTGTAGTAGAGTGCTGCAAAGGCCAGAATGTTGAGGAAAAGGAGAGAAGCACCCACCGCGATGGTCACGCTGAGTTCGGTGGAGTAATCTCGCTTTGTCTCGATAACCACCGCTGAGTCGTCGCCCAAATCATTGCCTTTACGCTGGTCTGTAGTTTGTTTGGTGTTGGCGGGAGGAACACCAGGATGACGTGTCGTGGACGGCCATGTTTTACCCAGTCTCTTAGTGTACGGGAATGGCGTAGTATCCTGAGGAGGTATCTTAGTCGTGGTCGAGACGTATTGAAAGAGTTCATTGATGTTATGAAGATGAGGTACCAGCTCTAACCAGAAGGCAACCTTAGTCGCACGATAGTGATCTCTCACCCTTGGCTTCAGCCCAATGTGTAGATAAAGCTGGTCTTTTGGGTTGTATTTAGACCAAGCCACTTCCTCGAAGCGGTTAGGCTTCGTGTGGATGAATTTGGTGTCCTGTGGAACTGGCTGATTCGGATCCCTAAAACGAGAATTTAAAGAACACGTCAGTATTTGCCTAAAAATTTAGAAACAAATAGCTTTTTAAGTGCAATGCAGTGTGTTCTTTAAAATTGCAGTAATAAAGAGCAAGTCTACACAGATGCTCATAACCACACATGCATCAATATCTTTAACCTCTGTGCACTGTATGTGTTTTTGAACACACATATGCTATAATGATAGCTTAACTCTGGGTTGTTGAACCTAAGGATATTATAACATCGAGATGTAACCTCTTCATCTCCCTTTTGCCCAGTTTCATAGGAATCAAATATCTGCTAAGTACAATTTCATATCTGACACATTTGAACTAAAGAATACAGCATTGCTCTGTATTTGAACAGTCATTACTGGTATAGCTTTCCTAACCACAAAAAGAACATACCTAGTGAGAAAGGTTTTAACTGGAAAGCCAATTTACCACTCCTCCACATTATTCAGTCTGGGAGCAGCAGACAACCTAGCCGGGCATAAAAGGTTTCTAAATATGGAGATGAGGTGGTAAAAACCAGGCCGGCATTTTTCTCTTAGTGCATTAGCTTTGTCAAGGTTTGTTTCTGAAGCAATAGCTGCACTTCTCCACAGATTTTGCTAAAAATTGGCCTCAGTAGTCATCTTTTGTCAACAGGTTTTTTTCAAGCATTGCAGACTACAAATAATTTGGCATGACAAGAAGGGAAAATAAGTAAGCTTTGCAGTGATTTAAAGATATTGAGAAACACGGTTTGGAATGCATGAATTTAAACCCTCAAGGCCTGTGAGGACAAATTACCTTCTATATTGTTATTTGCGTCACTATGTAGTTGGGGACAATATAAATAAATGGCTATATACAAAATTAGTAGGTAGGTAAATGTAGGTAACACTTTATTTTAGGGACCAATTCTCAGCATTAACTAGTTGCTTATTAGCATGCATATTACTAGCACACTGGCTGTTTATTAGTACTTATAAAGGACATATTAATGCCTTATTCTGCATGACCATATTTTAGATCCCTTAATCCTACCCCATACTTAACAACTACATTACTAACTATTAATAAGCAGCAAATTAGGAGTTTATTGAGGCAAACATCATAATTAATAGTTAGTTAATAGTTAGAACTGGTCCTTGAAATAAAGTGTGACCGAAACGTGTAGTATGTGTTGCAATTCTGACAGTGAAGGAACCCTAAAATCACCCAAAAGAGACAGCCATTGCGGCACATATTTGAAAGCATTTTTGTGGCAATATATGTCCCCACGGATGCACTTGTACCCACCCTCGACATGGTGCCCCTGAACGCATGCCCAAATGCCCATATGGTTAATCTGACTCTGGCAGACTGGGCGGTGAGGTTGAATGCATGTCTGACAGAGCAGATCTAGAGAACAGTGCCACTCTGGGTGAATATGGTCACTCTACCAGGGTCCATCATTAAACATAATGTTTAAATGTAAATAACCAAAACTGTACTGGAATCCAAGGTGTTGTAAAGCCACTGAATCCTTATTCATTTACCTTATCACTTTATTTATTAATAAATTGTTTTGTTCCAGGGATGAATTGCTGCTATATAGAGATTTAAACATGTTTTTATGTAAATATGAACAGTTTCTAGTGAGTAAATATCAATGTCAATCAAGCTAAATAGGAATGTTGTTTTCTGAGCCACGCAATTACATCTGTAGGGATTTATGATATCGGTAGCAGCTATACAGCTGTATCTATAGCAGCACAGTATAATGCTTACTACTAAGTATTCTTAAAATGATAGCTGATGTAAATTAGCTTGCATTATTTTGTTACAAGCTGGCTGATTGCTAGTTTCAAATTTATAATAAATACTCAACATGCATAGCACGTAACTGTACGTATGATGATTTCAGTCAAATATTCTTCCAAACTATTTTAAAGCTTTCTTCAACTGCTATATTCATTCAAGTTATTATGGCTCTTGAATGGTATGTTATTGTGTGAAACTTTCAAGGATGACAGGTTCAATGTTCTGCTGGTCTACTTGGCCTCATTTGAGATTATTATCATATTTAATAACAGTAGTAAATGAAAGAATCCCAAATAGAATCTGAATCTTTAATATCCCATGGTATGGCCATATGTTTTGTTGTAATATGGTGTGCTGTCTTTTCATTACATTTCAAGGCATGTTGAAAAATGTGCATGCGTGAAACTGAACGAGAGCCCTTAACACAAAAACAATACCTGAATAAAAATGATTAAATAAGCACTACTAAATAAGTAAAATAATTGATGGATAAATGCTTTCAAAGGTGCATGAATAAATGAATCTATAATGATCCATTTTGAATTTAATAAGTTGGTTTAAGACTTTTAATCGTGGAACCATGTGTCCAAAAGGAAAAAGGAAATCATATAGGTTTGTAATGACGTGAGGGTGAATAAACAATTATACAAATGGCATTTATTTTTGGGTGAAATATTAATTTAAACTGTGGCAATGATGTCATGTGAGTCTGTGTGTGTTACTGATATCAAATGGAAGGCAGCTGATGGTGAATGTTAAATTTATTCATGGTTTGACTATATTATTTATTATGGCTTGCAAAGTAAATTATTGTGGAAAATATAATACATTTTTCTTTTCCACAAATAATCTCTCACAAGGGCACCATCTCACTGCATGCATATATGGCAGGGAATCAACAATCTAATCTAGCTACAAGCAAACATGAGAGAGAATCAATGGTATTTCATTTGTTTGCTTTAACCTCTGGTAATGCCTATATAAGTATGTAAGCAATAACAATACTAATGACTATTTCAGAGAATTCAGACCTGAGAAAAGCAAGCAATGCTCTAAGCTATTTACCACCGAGCCAATCTACAGCTACTCAGTTTCTGTATTTCAGATAAGAGCAGCACTTCACTAAAGTGGCACGGTGTGCAGCATATGTCCCATTACATCCACTTTGCTTTTATCATTTATATAATCACAAAGTTAGATGCATTCTAGGGAGCTGAAACTGTTTACACAAAACTAATAGATAAAACTAACTTTTTTAAAGTCAACATGAATCCAATAGTGTTGATATTTAGTACAAAGGCAGTACTATGTTTAACTGTTTGTATCACTTGTCTCTTTTTCAGACCAGTTTGTGAGTGGTGCAAAATGAAAAGTGACGTGTCTGTTTTTAATTGCTCCTGAATTGCTCAGAATGGGATTTCTCCCAGCAGTGAACCTGGAGCAAACAGAGAGTGGAAAAAATTGAAAAACTTTTATATCTACAAAGTCTTTACTGTGCTGTAAATAATTTTATTTTACACAGTGTAACATACAGGGCCCGAGATCAGCATTAGTCACTTCGCATGACAGGGGAAAAAGAAAAAAATATATTTTATTTGTTATAATAATATGTTATAATAATAATTAATTTAATTGGTTTGCATGTTAAATATGTTCCTTCACCAAACATCAATCCAACACTAGCTCAGATTTAATTGAAAAAGGGATAACAGAGAATGCTTACTTTAAATGTCAAATAACTACTTTTTTGTAGAGATAAATTAATAAAAAAAATTATAATGCTGCAGTTTTGCATACAGATTATCTATATGTGTTGCATTTAGAATTGTATTAATCAAAAATAAAAAGGATGCATTGTGTAAACACAGTGATTGTATAGTGTACATGATTGCAAGATTTAAATTAATCTGGAAATCCATCCTTCCCATGTAGCAGGTAAAAATAAGATAGTATTCCTGTAAAAATGAACAAGCATACAATAACCCATTATGTACGGTGACCATACTTTAGTTTTTCAAAAAGAGGACAGTGTGGGGGGGGCGGGGTTCGTGGGTGGGGTTTCACCTAAAAGTATGTTTTTGTGTTTGTTTGCTTGTTTTGTTTTTATAATAAATAAACACAAAACAAGTAAATTGAATAGAAAAAGAATAGGGAATGCTTGTGTTAGAGGGTCTTTTTAAATGTCAATAGAACAGACAAATAATAGATAAAGCTTGTGTTAGAAGGTCATTATTTATAATAAATAAAAAGAAAATAAGTAGAAAGAAAGAACAGAGAATGCTAGTGTTAAAGACTCCTTTTTTTCTTTAAAAAAAAAAAACAAGTAGTTAGTATAGAAATAGAATAGAGAGTGCAAATGTTAGAGGAAAAAACGCGGACTTGGCAACCCTGCATCCAAGAAGAGCTGCCGGAGACAGATTTGGCTGATCTCAGGTCAAGAATAAGGAGAAATGACTGACAAGACCATGCTGGAGTATTTGCTGCTCAACAGATCCTGAGCTCATTGACAAATATCTGATCATGTAAGATGTGCTCCCTTTACACAGAGTGCGTGTGATCGTGAAATTGAAAGTGAAAGTAAACAGCGCAAACGATCATTCAAAAGAGATTTAAATACTCCGCATACTGAGAGCGGCTCCTTGATGCGGCATATAGAAAGTGACATTATCACTAACATTTATCTATGCGAGTTTAAGCACTCTCAAAAAAACAAAACTATCATTATAATCACTGAAGCTGTATACACTGTTAAATTAATCTCTTACTTACATTGTACGTACATCTGCGCTTTGTTGTTTATGATGAGAGAATTGGCAAGAGTCCAGAATTCAGTCAGCGGACGTGTGTGCACTCAACAAAACTGATGAGTTTGAACGATGACTCATTTGAATGCTTCTGATTGGCCATTGCATTCCTAAGCTCAACAGAATTGTTTGTGATTGGTTAAAATGTGCAACACTGTAAAAACGCCTAAAATTAAATATGGTACAAAATGAACAGATCTCAATTTAATGTCGACACTGCAATCGACACTGTTTATTCATATTCACTTTGTTAGCAACAGACATAATTGATTTAATTTGTTTGTGCAGGGGCATTTTTGTCCAATTTAGTGACATGTTTGCCCCAAGTCCCCGTGGCCAGGGGAAGGCTAAAGCCCCGTTCACACTGCCAGCGACTTTTTCACTGTATGTCGCTAGACTCTGTGCTGT